GAAAAAACAAGGAACTTTCCGCCTCTTAAAGAAACACCAGGATTCATAAACACGTTCACTAACCTCCCCTCCCCTAACGCGTGTGTCAACGAGTCGGTATTCATAGAACCTATTTCTTTCACAATAATTTCATATTTTACTCACAATTACCCCTATGACATTATAAGGTCTTATTGAACATCGATTGCTAAACGATATGATATTGTAAGACGTACATTTGATTTGGTAACAGATTTTCAGGGGAAAAATATCATTAAATCGATTTTTACACGCCATATATATGTAAGCCGCATTCCGATTTCATTAAATTTAAAATATGTTCTGTCTAATGTATCAAATTAAATTAATAAATCTCTTTTAATTATCTTCTGAACAACTAAAATGATTCCCATTCAGTTCCACCGTTCATTTTCGGAATTTTCGTTGACACACGGTGAATCTGTTCTAACTCAAAATGAATTCGGGTTCAAAAATTTGTGTAGCCGTAACTAGTTATCAGCATCGAGATGATAAAAATTTAGAATTTACGGTATTACAGAATATTAGTAAAGGCCGCTTTATAATCAACAACAGAATATTTTGTTATTACATAAATCGTATTAGTTGTAATACCAAAAGAAATGCATTTATTCCATTATAAACGGAAATTAAACCTCAGAATGGAAAAACTTACACGAAAAAAAATCAGGTGTAGAGATTTTATTAAAATAAAAGATGGTTTATTTGATATATTATAACGAAATAGCATCAGTGCCATATATTTTCCATCTACTTTCATTACAAGTCTGCAAACAAGTGGAGTTATTTCAGAAACTTGTTATAAATGCGTTATAAACATCAGGACAGACCCTCTGATTTAAGAGCCGAGTAATTCGTCAAAATGATATTTACCTTATGACATGTCCTGTCTTACGAACAAATAAATATTTATTTTTCCTGTTTAATACATCAACGAACAGATAACCAGTTTACTCTGATTACCCAATCATTTCGGTACAAAAATGAATGCTGGTCTCCATGTGTAGTGTTTGTTATTGCTGTCTTCGCTAGCCAAAGTCGGTTCAGCCTAATAGTCTAGATAGACGGGTTAAAAACTGTCTATAACCAAGTACGTACAAGCGTAGTTTAAACATTTATGTGACGTATTAAGTTCCAAATTTGTTTTAGTATATACGTTCAGGAGGAGATTAGAACCGATGAGAGATCGGATTTTTATATATGCTGATGTTGAGTGATGCTAAATCATAAACATTATAAAGACAAATACAAAACTCTCTATTCGATGCTACTACAAAAGTTGGTCTGAAAACAACGCAGACCTCTTCACCAAATCCAAGGACAAGTTCGTAATATAAAGAGAGTTAATATATTTTCTTAAACGTGACAAAGTTTAAATACTTGGGAAGAAATTAAGATAAATCAGACGAAAATTAAAAGAAGATTCGATCCAGTTTTTTTTTCAGAATAATTTTAACTTACTGTCAGAATATAATAATATATAAACGATTATAATTTTACGTGTTTATTTCTACGCGTGTGAAACTTTCTTTCACGCTGAAAAAAGAACAGAAATTTAGGATTTGAGATATAATTGATAAGAGGAATATTTGTGCTTTGGAAAGACGTCGGACGACATGAGAAGCTCCATTACCCCTTGCAATAATAAATTTAGTAAAATAATTCCTAGGGCAATCGTTGACAAAACTCCAATTGATTGTCCCTAAATATTACTACGATAATCAAATCAAAGATGATGAGAAGTGTTTGCAGCACACACGAGAAATATAAATTTCACAAAAAAATTTCGTACATGGATATCTTGAAGGAAGGGACATTTAGAAAACATTATTATATTAAAATAATCTTAAGTAGATCGCAAAGAAATTGGGCCTGAGAGTATTGATTGGATTCATCTGGCTTAAGATCGATTACAATGGCGCGCGTTTGTGAAAATGATGACAGACCTTTGGGTCCCATTTATCTCTGTACTAGCTGAGCGTCTGATAGCTTCTCGAGGGCAACTGTGCTCAATGCAATAATTTTATTAGTGTTTTCCTACGCTTAAAAATCGGTACTCCTCCCCCAATATTGTCAGGGTGATTAAGTCTAGGAGAATGAGATGGGCGGGGAATGTAGCACGCATGGATGGGACAAGAGGTGTGCACCGGGAAGCCTGAGGGGAAGAGACCTCTGGGGAGACCTAGACGTAGATGGGAGGATAATCTCAGGCGGGATCTATGGGAGATAGGAGTTGAAGGAGACTGGATTTTGTTGGCCCAGGACAGAGTCCGGTGGAGGGCTTTGGTGAATTCGGCGATGAACCTTCGGGTTCGGTAAGCCATCTAGTTAGTTAGGTAGTTAGTTAGATAGTTAGTTAGTTAGTTAGTTAGCTAAGTAAGTGTGTAAAATCAAAGACACTAGACAGCCTGTCTAAAAGAAATTATATCTGCATTCCTCACTTGTATGTATACAGATTTGGTAAGATACAATTTTCATAGCTCCGTAGCAACGTCAGTCTTAAAGGTCACGCTTGAGAGCATTGGATGATGATAATCACTGGCGTCCATTAAGGGTCACAAGTGTATATGGGGCAAGTTAGTTAGTTTCTTCCTACATTTTTGTAAAGACGTACGAGTGTTATATTAATGTGCAAATGGCGAAGTCAATATTTGAAACTTCTATTGGTTAATGGTCAAAGTACTGTGGCTATTGGAGAGGAAACTCTCTCACCGGGGACTCTGACTCGCATCCCTACTTTTAAAATGACTACTCTTTACCGTGGGAAGAATGGTAGTTCTGGAAAGTACTTGTGTCGCTATTGCACGCGGTGACGGCCGCAGGCTGGATCATGAGAACGATATGAAAGCCAATGTTCTTCTTCATTCGCTGCCATCGTAAAGCTACCACCACTCACCGGATGTTCCTCTAATCCGCGGACAGCGAATCTCTGAGCTGTACCTGCACACAAGCTCGGTCAATTGCTTTAAAGGCTAATACCTTACTTTCCGCTAGGGCTAATTAACCTTTAATTCGTTTTACAAACTCTTGTAAAAGTTAATACGCGAACAGGTAGCCTAGCAATAAGCCTCTAGAACCCGTACCAAACACCGGTATCAGTAAACTTGACGGCACAGTCGTTTGCTTTGCTATAGATCTTTAACATGAACGAGTATTTCGTCCAAAATTTTAACTAAGATAAACGACGTTCATGGTGGAACTTAGGAAAATAATAACTAAAGTTATTGCAATTTAAAATTGTTTTATCTTGTTTATCCCCGTCCGTCACTTTCACACATTCAGTTCACAGTCAATTATCATGGACTACATGTTTCAACCCAATGTGACCATCATCAGGTTCAAATACATGCTTGAAGTCACAGCATCAGGACAGACTTTTTTTTTCAATTTTACCGATGCTACAAATAATGATAAATATAAGATATTGTAGGTGCGTCATATTGTGATTTTATTTAAAATAGTATTAAAATATATATTAAAATTGTCCGTCAATCACAATAAAGTAATATAAGATAATTAGATGGTTAAAATATTATCCTTTGTTCCGTATCGAGTACTCGATTTACATATGGAACATTCTCGACATGTTTCGGCTTTCATAGAGCCGTCATCAGGTGTATGTTATAAACTCTTAATTCAATTACTAATTTTTAATTTTTTTTTTTAAATTAGTAAAAAAAACGGTTTAGAACACAAGACGTAAGAACCAGATGTCTCGAACACTTACGAAACACGGTCCCTTACATCGACGTAGAGACACTAATTAAAAGCATTTCAAAACAGCGAATTGTGGACAAGTTTTAGTCTATTAACGCAACGAGAAAATACTGCATTACAATGTTCTCTCTATTTATTGGAGCAGTAAAGTACGATGTTTACAATGGGCTGGATATGTAGCATGGATGAGACGAAAAATTATACAAAATGTTGAATGGGGAA